GGAAAGAGAGACAGAAAAAAAGAGAGAGAGAATGTCTAGGATGGAAAATGCAGTCTTCATCACTTTGCTGTATTCCTCTGGTCACACAGGCCAGCCAAGGTGGAATGTGGGAGGAGTCTACACTAGGGATGAATGCCAGAAAACAAGGATCTTGGGGCCATTCAGAGGCACACTGCCATGGTGTTGATGAGAACTGTACTTCCCTTTCCTCTCCAAAAAGCTTCTGTACCATATGTTTAATAATGGCTCCTCAGGATTTGATTATACGATGCTAATCCTAACTAGACATCCTTCCAGTAGAGTGTGGGTTGACCAACCACACACCTGTGGACTCTCAGAATGAGAATGGCTTTCAGCTCTCATATTTATAAAAGATGGGTAAAGAAAAACAAAAACAACACGCAACCTGACATTGTAGGCCTGCAAAGATGAAAATAATTACTATTTGACCTTTATAGATAAAATTTGCCAACTGCAGTTTTAATACTATAGATGTGGATGTCTTTATTGCTAGAACAGTTTTTTTTAAATAACTAATAAGACCAAAGCAAGATACACCCTTAACTTTTACCACTTTGCCAAATGCATGTTAATAAAGCTTTCTTTGCATCATCTTAATAATAGTTCATCATTCCACATACCTCTCAAAAAGGTATCCTAAGTCAGTATCTCATCTTCCTGTTTCATCCTCCATCTCGATGATCCCCTATCCCATGTTCTAAGATTTACACTAACTCTTAGACTATCACTAGCCTCATCTTCCATACCTAACTGGTCACTGGTCAGGTCAGTTTTAATACAGCAAAATGTTGTCTCCATTCCCTTTGTCATTGGCCTCATTCACATCCTCTTCGCAGTTAATGGTTCTTAGCTCCTCAGTTGAGGTAATGTGTGAGAGGGAATATGTCAACACATTCGACAGTCATTTGAATGGCCGTATGTGCGTGGTGTCCGATGTCTGTAAAATTATTTCTTTTGGAGTCCATGATGGTAGAGTTGATATGAACAGTACCGTTTTCTTATGTTCTCTCATGTCCAGGTTATGAAAACAAGGCTGGCTGTAGGCAGAACTGGACAGTACTCTGGGCTCTACGACTGTGCCAAGAAGATTTTAAAACACGAAGGCTTGGGAGCTTTCTACAAAGGTTACGTCCCTAACTTACTAGGCATCATACCTTACGCAGGCATAGACCTTGCTGTGTACGAGGTGAGTTTAGAGCAATGCTTTAAACCTGAAAGTGTAATCAAGTTACTGTCATTGTTAGAACTTGGCTTTATATAAAGTCGACATAAAGTCGGCCCCACAACCTGTGCCACCTTGCCTGGGCCCACACTTCTTTTCCTTGCAGTTATTCCTGAACCAATATAGAACAATGAAGTTACGTAGCATTTACATTGCATTCAGTATTGTGCATAATCCAGAGGGAGTTTAAAACATATGGGAGGGGGTGTGAAATACAGGGAGAAATACTTGTCTAAAAACCACACACACACACACACACACACACACACACACACAATTATTGCCTTCTAATGAAATGCAGGGACCTGGCGTGATAAGGGACAAGCACAGCCTATGGATCAGCACACCTTCTGAGCCCTTGTTTACAAAGCTCCACTGAGACAAATTTTCCTCATTTCTAGAATCAGAATAATGGATTCATGTCAGAGTTTTTGTAGGGACCAGATGAAATGATGTCTGTGTAAAGTATACAATGAGAGACATTTAGCAGTAGTGTTTTATTAATATCCAGTAGATGCCACGTTTGGTATGCTTTGATCTTCATATTTGTTTAGAAGAAAATGAGCAACCAGTGCAGACATCATGCTTCCTGATATCCTGATGACGTCCCCACGTCCCTGTTTCCTGCAGAGCTACTGCCCCTTACAGTGCCTGCTGCTCCTGGGGATATGCCATGCTGCTGCATCTTGCAGAAATGTGGCCTGTTTTTCACAGGGACTGAGGACAGCTGCGAAATGGGCAAAAGCAATTGTAAAGTTAGCTTTACATGATTTTTCTTCTGTTTCTCCGGCAGCTCTTGAAGTCCCATTGGCTAGATAATTTTGCAAAAGATTCTGTAAACCCCGGCGTTATGGTGCTGCTGGGATGTGGTGCCTTGTCCAGCACCTGTGGGCAGCTGGCCAGCTACCCTCTGGCTTTGGTGAGAACGCGCATGCAGGCTCAAGGTGAGGATTTGATTAACAAATGGTACGGATAAAAGTGCATCAGTAATACACCTTAGGAACTTCAAGCTCTGCTGAGACTGCAGAGTGTAGTTTTCTTTTTTAGAGAGATGTTTGCTATCGGCTATATACTCTCCCAAGAGAGAGAAAGACAGACAGAAAGTGAGAGATCACCCCTCAGTGGGGAGATGGCCATGCCAAAATCCCTTCTCTTCCACTCTCCTCCCAGGATTTTGGACACGCACAAACACCCAGCATGAGTTTCAAGCCTTCAAGTCTGGGACTCGAACCGTGGTCAACTGTGTGGAGTCCAGTGACATAACCATTATGCCATCTACTGGTATTGCAGAGTGTAGTTTTAAGACAGTATTTCTTCCAGCCTTTTTTTTTTTTTTTTCATGATTGCCTTCCTAAGGGTTCTTTCCAGAAATTTTTTTATTGATCACTCCCTCTTTGTGAAAGTTTTTTATTTTTTAAAAAAAAATTTTGGGAGAGGTTTTCGCTGTAGGGCTTGTGCACTTGCCAGAAAGAGAGAGACAGAGAGACAGAAAGCAAGAAATCACCCCCCGGGAGGATGGCCACACTGCAATACCTTCTCCTCCATTCTTCTCTCGGGATCTTGGGCACGCATGCACACATGCCTGGCGTGAGCTTAAGCCACCGGGTCCAGGACTCAAACCGCGGTTGACTACATGGGAGTCCAGCGACATAGCCATTATGCCAACTGCTGGTCCCTGTGAAAGTTTTTAAGAATTATTTATTTGTTTAACTTAATTTTTCAATTCTACCAGAGAGAGTTAGACTGAAAAAGGGAAAGTGAGAAAGCAAGCTGCCAGGTCTGGGACTCCAACTGTGGTTGGCCATGTGGAAGTCTGTGCCTTAATCACAACACGACTTGCTAGCCTCATCTTTATGAAATTTTAATGTCACAGATATACTACATGTATACATGTATACTGTATGTTTATGTGTGCTTTATATATAAACAGTAAGTTGTTTTTTTGTTTTTTTTTTTTAAATCGTGTTGATGGCAGGCCTTAAAAGTATAAGCTGTGGGGGGAGGCTGCAGGTGGTGTAGTGACTACATCACTGGACTCCCACATGGCTGTGTTAGAGTCCTGGACCCCGTGGATTAAAACTCATGCTGGACTTGTGTGTGTGAGCCCAAGATACCAGGAGGGGAATGGAGAAGAAGGGATTACAGTGTGGCCATTCCCCCCAGGAAGTGATTTCTCACTTTTCTTTTTACTGTCTCTGTCCCTCTCTCTGGCAAGCACACATGCCCTGAACCTCTACAAAAAGAGAAAGAAAGAGAGAGAGAGAGGGGGAAGAGGAGAGAGAGAGAGAGAGAGAAAGAAAGA